TTAAACCTCTTCCATTGAATTCTGCTTCAAGTTCTTTTTTCAAATTTGCTGGTAAATTTTCTGTCATTAAAACTGGCATGACAGGAGAAATATCTGGCATTAGGGTTTATTATTTTTTATATCTCCCCCAAATCTCCAAAATATTTTTTAAAGGGGTTGTTTAAATTATTATATCACTTCTTTTTACCCTTTCCTCTGGAGCCCCCGGTGGTGCAGTGTGTTAAACCCCTGTGCTGGCAGGACTGAAGACCGACAGGTTGCAGGTTCGAATCTGGGGAGAGGCAGATGAGCTCCCTCTATCAGCTCCAGCTCCTCATGCGGGGACATGAGAGAAGCCTCCCACAAGGATGATAAAAACATCAAATCATCCAGGCGTCCCCTGGGCAACGTCCTTGCAGACGGCCAATTCTCTCACACCAGGAGTCACTCCTGACACGACAAAAAAATAAAAAATAAAACCCTTTCCTCTATTACCCCTATGAAAAGTATTCTAATTTCAGTTCTATTTTTTATCATCTTCTTCCAGCCACTCCAAGCTTTTTTGTTTTGCTAAACTTTCTACTATATATCTTATTTGTTTTGAAAGATAATATAACTTGAGGTTTCTCTTCAGATCATATAAATCTTTCGCCTTAAATCATGCTCTCAAGAGATAAAATAAAGTAGTCTTCTTTAAAAGTAACATATCTGGTTTGCTCACAATCTTCTTGTATATATTCAGGAGACAGGTACATTTCTTGTTGATCCAGCTACAGATTTGAAGTAGTTTCTCTGTTTTGGTAACACAGCGCATCTTTTGAAGAATCAAGTCCATAGTCCAATAGAGTCTTTCAGCATACATCTTATAAAAATCCAAACTGTGTAACTACTCACTGCTTCTCAAAGCAAACACATACTGTAGCATACTGTTCTTACTGAAGTCTAAAGGCATTTATATCTACTGAAATCTAAAGCAACCTGCAAATCTAAAATGGAGCCTTGAGTCTGAACATGCTCAGTTCTGATCATATGGTCTGCAGCCCCTTCTACATCAAAGAGGTTAGTCAAATTGGCAAACCAATACACACATATAATACAGGTAGCAATAATATACGTTACAAACAACTAGTGAAGGCTTGAGAAGGTTGCTATTTCCAACAGTGTTGGTACCTGGGACCATGGATGAAGGCCCCTTAAGCCTTGAGAGGGCTCCTACCATGCTTTCCCTACCATTGCTCATGCATGGGTTCCCCTTCCCCTCCTTGGTGGCTTCTCTCTCTTCTCCATAACTCCTCTCCCCAAACCATTTCCCCAGCCCTTCATCATCTGGTTGTGTATGTGTTGTCATACCATACCTTGTTGCTGGCTGTGGGCATGAGGCTCTTACAGGCAGTCCCCAAGTTACAAACATCTGACTTACAAATGATTCATAGTTACAAATGGTGGGGGGGGGGTGAGACCAGGGGAGGTTCAACCCATTACGCAAAGTAAGCATTTGCAGTATAGTTGATTTTGCCCAGGGGTGCTCTTGAGGCGCTCTTGGGGGAAAATAGACCTTGACATATGCGAGTTGTAGTTACTGGGATGTATAGTTCACCTACAATCAAAGAGCATTCTGAACTCCACCAATGATGGAATCGAACCAAATATGGCACACAGAACTCCCACGACGAACAGAAAATATATATCAGTGATTGGGGGGGGGGGGCAGAATACTGTTTGCTTACCATTGAAAATTACCTAGGGCTGCCTCTGGGTGAGACAACAGGAAGTGAGAGAAACAGTTGTGACCTGGATATGTTAATTAACTGTTTTCTTAATTACTATATTTCTGATTATATTTCTTAATTACTATATTTCTGATTATATTTCGGCTATGGAACGCCCTTCCCATGGAGGTAAGATCAGCCCCCTCGCTGATGGTGTTCCGTAGAAGATTAAAAACCTGGATGTTCGAACAGGCATTTGGTTAATTCGGTGCAATGAATGTAATGATTAAAGGATTGGTAATATGGACGACGAAACTGGATCACGATTTTAGTCAGGAGATGCATTGGATTGTTATTGATGTGCGAATATTGTGTATCATGCTTTTATGGTTTTAAATTGTATACTGTTGATTGTTGTATTTTGTTGTAAACCGCGTTGAGTCGCCGGCTAGGCTGAGAAACAGCGGTATACAAGTATAGCAAATAAATAAATAAATAAATAAATAAATATATGGAAGAGATGGAAGAGAAATAAGGGAGACATTAAAATTGTAATGCACCCACAATACATATTACAAACATATACACATACACATACAGATACACATACACATAAACAACCCACCACCCACATACCATTACCCCTCAACCCACCCCCTGTGCAACCCACCACCTTGGTTCCCAACACTGATCTACACAGAGTTTGTACGTTCTTTTATTTTACCCTCTGTTCTTCTAGATCAATAAATTCCTCTTGTTTTTATTTCTTAAATTCTCCCACCAGATATGCTAAGGCCAACTTCCAATGTCTTTCAAAAACGTCATGACTTTCATACTTCTAGAAATCATATAGCTAGATATCTTGGCCATCTGTGCATAATCCCACAATTTATCCTTCCACTTTTTGATACTTAACATTTTTCTCCTTTCCAGTCGCTGGCAATTATAATGCATGCAGCCGCAAAACTGTACAGAGAATTTTCTCGTTCCGGCTGCAATAATTTATCACTGAATAACCCTAATAGGCACATTCCTGGATATATTTTTTTACTTTGTTGTGGATCTTTTTATTTGTTTCTTTTATGATTCTTTTCCAATAGGCCTGCACCAGTTCACAAGACCACCATACATAGAAAAAGGTCCCTTTGTTTGATTTACACCTCCAGCAATGTCCTGATTGTGCTTTATCTATTTTGGCTAGAAGGGCTGGGGTTATGCAACATCTGTAAAACATTTTATATAAATTATCTCCAATTGAAGTCGCCATTGTACATTTGAAGCCTTTGTTCCACAGATTTTCCCAATTATCAAAATTTATGTTTCTTCCAAGATCATTTGCCCATGAAATCATGGAGGTTTTTACTCAATTGTCTTCTAGGTTATACCCTAGAATGTATTTATACAATCCAGCTATTAAACCTTTTTTCCCTTTGTCTAGTATAATTTCCAGTTCCAAATATGGGAGTTCATGAGACTTCTTCCATCTGGACCAATGAGGCCCAGAAAGGTGGACAATAACTTGGTTCTACCTTGCTCTTTTTAGGAAAAAAATCACTGTGGATGTCCTGGAGATACCTGAATGCAGATATTATAATCTTGGCTTATTCGCCCTTAAAAGGACTGGCAAAATCAGCTAGCTTGGTGGGTTATCCAATGAGGGGAGAAATAATCAAAAGCAGATTCCTCCCACTGGTGCTTTATAGTGCAGTAGATGGGACTTCCATTTAGACCAGTGGTTGTCAAACTGGGGTCCCCAGATGTTTTTGGCCTACAACTCCCAGAAATCCCAGCCAGTTTACCAGCTGTTAGGATTTCTGGGAGTTGAAGGCCAAAAACATCTGGGGACCCCAGGTTGAGAACCACTGATTTAGACCTTTTAAGAGTTGCTGCAGTAACTTGGGGCAGGGGAGGTTGTCAGTGGAGGACCATAGTCAAAAAGGAACCTCTTGCTGTTACCCCATCACTGCCTTATATCCCACTCATTCCAGGGACTTTGGCATTCTGTAGATGTCCCGTTTTGCATAATTTTGCCAGCCTATTCTGATCTGCATAGTGTGCAGTCACTGGGTTTATCTTTAAGACAATGCACTTGCCGTGTCACACTGTACACTTTCTGTATTTTCCATGACTGATTCTCTAACACTGAGATACACAGAGAAACAAGAATATTTCTTTGTGTCTGGAGAGGTTGACCTTTGCTTATGAAGGCATATTTATTTATATATTTACTACATTTATATGTTGCCCTTCTCACCCCGAAGGGGACTCAGAGCGGCTTAGTTTTTACTGTACAGGAGCCAGCAACATATGCGCCAACATATGTATTAGTCTTGCAAACTCTTTGTTTCCAGTATCTTACTGTGTGCGGTTTTTATCTCCCCCTGCATCTCAGTAGCTTTGGGGACCGAAGTGGTGATTTCTCATTGATTTACAACAGCACCCATGTTGCTAAGAAATGTTGTTTGGGTGTGAACGTAAGCACAATGTTTCCCCATGTGCTGCCTACTTGGGAGGGGTTATCTCTTAGTAGCTATAAGTAGCCATCAGTCTGGGACTGAGCACAGCCACTTCATCTTCCTACCCAGGGAAACTGCTGGCTGCTCCTGGGGTTTTGCAGAGCTTGGAAAAAGCATTCCTGGAAAGCAAGAACAAGATAGACTGCAAAAATTGGCATATAGCTTTGATACCTCAGGAAAGAACAGCCGTTTTGTCATTTTTAGAGTTGTCCTCCTGGATCTTCTGTACGTGCAGCATTTTGGTTTTTTGTTGTGCTGCTCGCAACATGGCTTTGGCTAACACTAGCAGTCCAGCCGCATGTCAAGAAGAGGCTACAAAGGCATGGACACTACCACCCTGCACTGAGTACCTATGCCCATTGCTGCCCATCTGCATTCTCATCCCAGTGACAGCTGTGTGCTTGGTTTTACTAATTCTTGGCGTTGGTGGCAATGTTTTGACTGTGATTGTGACAAGCCGGTCTCGTGACCTGCGCTGTACCACCAGCCTCTATCTGGGGAGCTTGGCTGTCTCTGATCTGCTGCTGCTCTTACTTGGGCTGCCGATGGACCTGTACCGTCTGTGGCGCTCGCGGCCATGGGTGCTAGGAACACTGTTGTGCCGTGTCTGGCATTGGTCTGGGGAAGCGTTTGCCTACTGCTCCATCCTTCATCTGACGGCTCTGACGGCCGAGCGCTATGTTGCCATTTGCTTCCCGTTGCGTGCTAAAGTGCTGGTGACCCAACAGCGCGTAAAAGCATTACTGGTAATACTGTGGGCTATTGCACTGCTCTCTGCTGCACCGTTTCTCTTCCTTGTGGGAGTCCAACAGGCCAGCAACACTTCTAATGACAATGGCTTCACCCGTGAGTGTGGCCCTACCGACTATGCTAAACAGTCAGGGATGTTGGGAACCATGTTCTGGGTCACCACCAGCTACTTCATGCTGCCCTGCCTCTGTCTCTACATCCTCCATGGCTTGATTGCACGGGAGCTTCTACTGGTCAGGAAGGCACAGCTTGGTGGGACGTCCTACCGGAACCACCAGCATACTGTACGCATGTTAGGTAAGTAAATGGAGGGCAAGAGAGGGAAAAGTACTTTAGTAACTAACTCATTCTTATGTCCCTCATTCTCGTAGAGTCACCATCAATCCCACCCCTCCAAGTTCCTTTTGTACCAGCCATTAGGATGAACAGAAACATGTCTTCTGTTTGCTTCACTGGCTATTTTCCCATCCAAAGGAAGGAAGGAACAAAAATTTGTGTCAACATCCCTATCTGGGAACGTGGAACATAGTTTATAGCCAGTAGCGAAATGCCTTTCATGCACTTTTAAAGGATTATCTTCTAGTCCTTTTGGCTATTTGGCTATTAACTCATTGGCAGATTCCTGGCCACACTTTCTTAATCTCCCATTACAATTTATAGTAGCTGTATCAGCGAGATGGTTCCTTGTCTGTTGGGCAGTTCCATCCTTGTTCAACAGCAAAGCACATCAAGGAGCCTTTAAAAAATATTGTCGAAGGCTTTCATGGCTGGAATTGCTGGGTTATTGTAGGTTTTTTGGCTGCATGGCTATGTTCTAGAAGCATTCTCTCCTGACGTTTCGCCTGCATCTACGGCAGGCATCCTCAGAGTTGTGAGGACCTCACAACCTCTGAGGATGCCTTCCATAGATGTAGGCGAAACATCAGGAGAGAATGCTTCTAGAACATGGCCATACAGCCTGAAAAACTTACAACAATTCTCTTAAAAAGTGTTATTAGTTTATCCTTTCCAATGACTTCTAAACAACCCCACCATGGCTAGCAACAATGGTGTCAAAGCAACAAGTTAATTGTCTTTCCTCTTTTTCCTCCTTTCCAGTTGTGCTGATTTTGGCGTTTATCATTTGCTGGCTGCCCTTCCACATTGGCAGGATTATGTACATCAACCCAGCGAATTCCCTGATGATGTATATCGCCCAATATTTTAATATTTTTGCATTGCAGCTTTTCTACTTGAGTGCTGGTATCAATCCCATTCTTTACAACTTTGTCTCAAAGAAATATAGGGCAGCTCTTTATAAGCTACTGGTGACCAAGCGATCTACAGAAAGGTCTTCTACTATTACCCGAGAGACTGCTGGCTACGTAGAAATTAGTGGTTAGCAGCATTACTAACATCACAAATGTATGTGACTCTGTTTCCATTCCTTTCACTGTTATATATTTAAAGCAGGTTGGTGAAATAATTATGCCTCAAAAAAAAAAATAAGTGGCAGAGAGAGGTAAACAGGGAAAACTCAATTTTTGAAAAACAGTTATGGTTCCTAACTGTGAGGAGGATAACTGTAAGGAGATACAACTGAACTTGACAAATTGCTGCCCTTTTCTCTTTGATTTGGGAATGTTTGATTGTCAAAACAGGTAGAAATCCATCATTATAAAATGCACTGATAGGTCTCTTCCTAAATCCCAGTGTAACATTACTTCTCTGTACATATTGGGGCTATTCTATAATGAAAAATGCTGCTACAAGAACTGCAAGAAACGTTGGCAGTCTAGCTAAAGAAGAGACATAGGTTCATGAAAGGAGAAACCTGATTATATGTGTGTGAGTGTGTGCCCTATGGGTGTATATACATATACATTGCAGTAGACACCAGGATGCTCTTCAGAAATTTCTTAATTATCTTTATAGGTGAGCTGCTAATATATCAGTAAAATTTCACGCTTGTTTGCAGATTTCTTTCTTTTATTTATATAATAACATGTTGTATTTCGGTATATTACATATAAATGAAATTTCATATTTAGAAATCTCCAAGATATCGTATTATGTACTATATGCAAATACAAATATTCTAAAATCCTGACAAAATCCAAAACCCTTCTCGTCCCAAGTATTTTGAATGCAGGATGCAGGCATGTAGCCCGGGGGGGGGGGGGGGGGCTTCAGCCCCCCCCCCCCCCAAATTCTCATGGTGGTTCGCGAAAAGGCCTTACTGGTGCACTATTTAAACTGTTATGTTTATTCATATCATGATCTGATCACCATACTCAATATATCCCATATGCATGGGGGTATTGGGGTAATGATACAAAAGGTTTGCTAGGCTAGACCCTCTTTCACTCAGACTCAGCCCCCCCCCCAAAACTCAGCCCCCCCCGAAACCCCCCCTGAAAAAAATTCAGCCCCCCCCCGAAACGAAACCCCCCCCCCCCCCCCCCCCCCCCCCCCCCCCCCCCCGAAACGAAATCCTGGCTACGAGCCTGGCAGGATGCTCAAATAGTCAGTTTGGAAGAAATTGGACTTGGCATTGCAGAAGACTACAACTAAAATAAAAAAATATTGCTTTGCCTGACTCTGTGCATATGGAATGTAAACAAAGTTGGCTGTGACACAGAGATACCAAATTGGGAAGGTACGGATCTGGAAAAATCTCACATGCCTGTCAAATGCGGCAAATGCTTCAAATTTATGTCAGTCCTAAATTGCATTGGAAGTCAACTTCATGCAGTATCCCTATAATCAGGCATGTAGCCGGGGGGGCTTCAGCCCCCCCCCCCCGAAATTCTCATGGTGGTTCGCGAAAAGGCCTTACTGGTGCATTATTTAAACTGTTATGTTTATTCATATCATGATCTGATCACCATACTCAATATATCCCATATGCATGGGGGTATTGGGGTAACAATACAAAAGATTTGCTAGGGTAGACCCTCTTTCACTCAGACTCAGCCCCCCCCCCCAAACTCAGCCCCCCCCCCATCAAAATCCTGGCTACGGGCCTGCCTATAATAATCTATATATATAAATATGATCTGTGCGTAATGAGTACCTTAAAAACAAACGAACAAACAAAAAACAATGAACGAAATCACACCAAATTTGGCAACAAAATGTCTCACAACACAAGGAGTGACTATCACTCAAAACATTATGATTTTGTCATTTGGGAGTTGTAGTTCCTGGGATTGATAGTTACAATCAAAGAGCATTCCGAACTCCACCAGTGATGGAATTGAACCAAACTTGGAACACAGGACCAACAGAAAGGATTTGGTGGGCATTGACTTTGAGTTTGGGAGTTGTAGTTCGCCTCCATCCAGGGAGCACTGTGGACTCAAACAATGAGGGATCTGGACCAAACTTGGCACAAATATTCCATATGCCCAAATATGAACACAGATGGAGTTTGGGGAAATAGACCTTGACATTTGGGAGTTGTAGTTACTGGGATTTATAGTTCACGTACAATCAAAGAGCATTCTGAACCCACACAATGACAGAATTGGGCAAACCTTCCCACACAGAACACTGTGCCACAGCTAAACGTGGCAGGGACGGCTAGTATAATATATAAATCTTTACTTGTACCCCACCACCATCTCCCCAAAGGGACTCAAAAGCACTCCAAGTGCCACACACAGACAACAATACATAAGCACAAACACAATGACACAAGTACAGTCAACAGTGCATAAAAATCTCATTGATAAAATCACAAAAATTTGAAAGCCATAAAAGTCCTAAAAAGCAATGGAACCTGCGGGCCAGCTATCTATCATATCCTTCTTTAAGATCAGCATGAAGTGCAGATAATCCTGTATTAAACCCTTTACAAATGCCTTCAGTTCTCTCTGAATGTGCCACCTATATATCAGCCGGCAATGCTAGATAGGGTAAAGTAGGTAGATTTTGGAAATAACACCTTCCTGCCAGATGTAAACATGTATTACACTAGGTAACACTATTTTTGTTCCTTGATTATAAATGACATTTCCTAATTGGCTCTTTCCTAAAAACATGGAAAAGGTTTGTTAAAGTGCAAAAACTTTGTTTTTGCAGGACATCCTGGAGCATGTTTTGCTATAGTTTTTCAATGAATTTCTCATAGAGTCTCAACCAATTCAACATAGTTTGAGGCAGCCACAAAAGCTAAGTTTCTTGAGTATAACAACTATTTTCAAAGTAAGTACTTCACAATTAAACAAGAAATAACCCTTTCAAACGAAGAACATATTTTTTTATTTTGTTAGCAATGGGTTAAACCCTTGTACTGCCAAGACAAGGTCAGTGGTTCGAATCCAGGGAGAGTGGGTTGAGCTCCCTCTGTCAGCTCCAGCACTCCACGCAGGGACATGAGAGAAGCCTCTCACAAGGATGATAAAACACCAAAAATATCCAGGCGTCCTTTGGGCAACATCCTTGCAGACAGACAATTCTCTCATACCAGAAGTAACTTGCAGTTTCTCAAGTCACTCCTGACATGAAAAAAATAATCAAAAACTTAAAACGTTTTTCTAAATCTCATTCTGTTTTGAAAGACATCTCACAACAGTTCCTACCATGACTACTGTGATTACAAAGCTTGAATTATGGTATATACTTGTTGTTGTTGTTCATTCGTTCAGTCGTCTCCGACTCTTCGTGACCTCATGGACCAGCCCACGCCAGAGCTCACTGACGGCCGTCACCACCCCCAGCTCCTTCAAGGTCAGTCCAGTCACTTCAAGCATTCCATCCATCCATCTTGCCCTTGGTCGGCCCCTCTTCCTTTTACCTTCTACTTTCCCCAGCATATTTGCTTCTGCCAACCTAGCAGTTCGAAAACATGCAAATGTGAGTAGATTAATAGGTACCGCTCCGGCGGGAAGGTAACGGCGCTCCATGCAGTCATGCCGGCCACATGACCTTGGAGGTGTCTACGGACAACGCTGGCTCTTCGGCTTAGAAATGGAGATGAGCACCACACCCCAGAGTCAGACATGACTGGACTTAGTGTCAGGGGACTACCTTTACCTTTACCTTACTCATGTATAAATCTAAAAAATTAGTCAAAAATCAACTCAACCGAGTGGGCTTCTGAGTGTGTCAATGTAAGTACTGTACCTTAACACTTAACAAAAAACAAAAAAACAGCCATCTCCTTCTTTTAGTAGAGTGGCAAAAAGCAAGACATTTCCTGGAAGAACCTGAAAAAGTATCAGGCTCCTCTATTGTCTTCACTGGGGTACGGCTTCTGGAAAGATAAATGGCAGCAATGAGGGCTCTTTGGTACTTTCCTTCAAAGGAGTGCCAAGAGAGTAGAGGAGTCAGTGTTACTTTCAGGTTATCTCAGAATGGACGTATCTCATGTCTTTCACCACTCTACGCTGACAAGGGATGTCTCCTTTGTTGACAAGAGTTAATGATTTTAATCTTTGTTCTGTGCATTTTAATATGTATTTTGAAGAAATACGTTTTAATATCTGTATTTTATAGAAAGTTTACAATGATTATATGGTTTAGCTTGTTGTAACCCTACTCAAACCTAGAGGAGAGGAGGGTAAGAACCAAAACTATTATTATTATTATTATTATTATTATTATTATTATTATTATGTAACTTAATCATCTGTACCTTATTATTATTATATTGTACCCTATTTTGTTTTAGATAACCATTCCCCTATCTGATTATAGTGATGATGGGCCATTGTGAATGCTGGTGCTTTTCCCTCTCCACGGAATGACCCTCGTCCTACCCACAGGTCATATCAAAATCCATAATTCTGGCCACAAAGCCTGCCCCCTGACTTACATTACATATGGCATCCAATGTTTGCCTTTTCTATGATGTATCATTTGATGTATCAGTTGCTCCCGTACCATGGGAAGTCTGATCTGGCCACAGTGGTCCACGCTCTTGTTACATCCCGAATAGATTACTGCAACGCACTCTACGTGGGGTTGCATTTGAAGACTGTTCGGAAACTTCAATTAGTCCAGCGGGTGGCAGCCAGATTACTCACCGGAGCGTCATACAGGGAGCATACCACCCCTCTGTTATGTCAGCTCCACTGGCTGCCGATCCAGTTCTGAGCACAATTCAAAGTGCTGGTTTTGACCTACAAAACCTTATACGGTTCCGGCCCAGCGTATCTGTCAGAACGCATCTCCTCTACGTCCCGCCTCGGAGTTTAAGATCTTCTGGGGAGGCCCTGCTCTCGGCCCCACCTCTATCACAAGTGAGGTTGGTGGGGACGAGGAGCAGGGCCTTCTCGGTGGTGGCCCCTCACCTGTGGAATTCACTCCCCGGGGAAATTAGGTCATCGACATCCCTCCTCTCTTTTAGAAGGAAATTAAAAACATGGATATGGGACCAGGCTTTTGGGTAATCTGG